ATGGGTCGCCCGATGGAGGAGAGAGTGGAAAAATTTCACAGAATGAGAATATTCGCTGCTAAATTCCACAAAAATTTTCCGGAATTAATTCTTTCCGGTGGATGGGACGACACAGTTCGGGTAAAAACGAATAAAAAATCATCAGTAATTACCCAGTAATTACATGTATACCAACGGAGTGATCCAATTAATGAATTTCAATAAATGAATAATTCGAATAATTTATTTCCGAATATTAATAAATAATTTTTCAGATCTGGGACAGAAGAATCGATAAAGGATCGATAAGATCGATAAAAGGGCCTCACATTTGCGGTGATGCCCTAGACGTTCACGTAATTGATCTATAAATTCCATTGATTCATTCGCCCACACGACTAATTGGTCATCGCACATCTTGGCATGGATCGATGTTTAAAATTAAATAGTGAACTCAGACCGTTTTATTAATAAATAACGGAGACCCATCATCATTATTATTGCAAATAGCCGATCATTGGGTTTTGAATTATTTTGATTTTAGGGGACCAAAATTATAACTGGGTCATGGACGGTCGAGGGAAGTCTCCAGCTGTGGGATATGACCGGTGGAAGATTGATGGAGACAATTATTCCTAGGAATCGTCCAACAACACTTGATGGTGAATTTCTCTATGTGGTTCAATATTTTGATGGAGATCCACATGGAAATCTAGTCATCGCTGGAGGAACGGGCACTGGAGCCGTTGAAATCATCGATTTGAATGAAAAAATGGTCAGAGTCATTAACAATTTCTGTCAGTTATAATAAAATAATAAAATAATTAATTCATTTACACTCATCACTCGTTTTATTTTATTTCATATCCTCCGATCCTTCGTCTCTCATCTAATATTTTGAATGTTAGTGGAATTCGGTTATTATAAATTATTGAGGAATTAATTTGTTGATTAATTGTGGGCCACAGGTTGTGGGGAAGTTTGAAGTTGCCAAAGCTGTAGTGACGATTGACAGTCACAGGAGATTTCTGGTGTTCGGTGGTTTCGAGTCGACAATTCGCATCGGCGATTTTCCTGACATGTACTAGATTAATAAAAAATCAATTGAATTTGTCCTGCGATTAAAGGAAACCAGAGCTTTTCGTTGAAGACATTCAGTCGAATGTTCGAGTGATGCCAAAGTTAAATATAAAATACGGCGGCGCCGATGGTCGCCAGCATCCAGAACCAATGGTTCCATGGAAGTCAGTCTGTTCTAGCCCCTCGACGCGAACCGGCTATTTTTTAATTTAATTATTAACAAACGAACGATCGCTCCCCCCAGTTTGACGTACCCCAAATTTAATCTCTCGTTTTTGTGTGATAAGTGCAATTGTGCGATTAAATCGAGTGCAAGTGAAGACCGAAAAAAGGTAACGGTTCATTTTTTTCATTATCTCGATTTATCGAATCGATTTTTCACTCGATTTTTCGTACGGTTCGACGACCTCTTGCTGTAGAACAGAATTATCTTTCTTCTTTCCGTATTTTTGGCACGAGAAAAGGATTTTTCAATCTCTTTACCCTGTGATGTAACAATTACTCCGTCTGACTCAATCGTTATCCGAAAATAATTTCAATTTTCTTCATTTCCTCCGCCAATTGTAATCCAGTGATTTGTAATCCTATTACCGCTGGATTTTATTTATTCCGCTGGCGATTTTATTTTTGGAAATATCCAGAGTCTCGGGCTCTCATAAATGTTTGTTCAACCCGATTTTTTAAACAATTTCACTCCTGGATTTGTTGAGCTCCGGGTGGAGATCGGGATTTAAATAACGATTTTCTGTGTCAGGCACTTGAAATAGGAAATTTT